CCGCGGCAACGCAACGAGGCTCCCCCTCGACCTCGAAACGCCCTCGAAGCCTCGACGACGACGACGACGACGACCGAACGACGACGACGACGACGACCGAACGACGACGTCGACCGAACGACGACGACGACGATCGAACTTCGACGACGACGACGACGACGAAATCTTTTCCCCTTGCCCGAACCCTCGCCCAACCTCTCGCCGCCGCTGGCGGCTGTTCTCCACGGTCTCAGGCGCCGTTGTTCCTCGCCATCAGGCGGATGTTCGGCGTTCGTCCCAGCAATTGCCGCGGCTGCAATGCCGTAAACCAAGAACTTGCCCCCCGTAGCGGTTCTCGCGATGGAGGGGCAGGGGGAACAAGGATGAGGACTAAAGGGGAAGAGTATGGGGAAAGGATGAGGAGGGGGTTATCGGGTCAACGGTAGGTCAACGCACGTGCGTTGACCCCCCGTTGACCCGATGACCCCCGCCCTCCCCTATGTGGAACCGCTCTGATGGGTAAGTGGGTTAGCGGCGTTGCGGCCCCGACGCGGCCTGTTGGCCAAGTATCGGGCGTGCTGGAGGGCCTTCGTCCATGGAGTCGGCCGAATCCACGTTCACCGCGGGGCGGCCGTCCTGGGGACATCGGCGGAGGGGGGTGGAGGAAGGCCGAAGGAAGAGGACAGAATGATTTCGATCCAAATCGTCGACCTATCTCGGGTTACCCAGTGGACCGGGTTACGATCGGAGGATCTAGGGAGAATTGGTAATAAGGGGGAGGAGGAGGAGGATGATCGGAGGATCTAACATCGGAGGATCTAGGATCGGAGGATCTAGGATCGGACGACGTTCGGACGATCGGAGGATCTAGGATCGGAGGACCTAGGATCGGACGATCGGAGGATCTAGGATGAGACGATCGGAGGATCTAGGATCGGAGACCCCAGGATCGGACGATCGGACGATCGGAGGATCTAGGATCGGAGGATCGGACGACGTTTTGAAACAAGTGTCCTGGTCTGGCGCCATTGGTCCCGAAGATGTTGCCCTGCTCGGTGATGCGCTGGTTGCCATAGGTGTCGCCCCGCTCGCTGGTGCCGCTGGCCTTGCCTTGCTCGCTGGTGCCGCTGGCTCTGCCTCGCTCGCTGGCGCCGCTGCCTCTGCCTCGCTCGCTGGTGCCGCCGGCGCTTCCTCGCTCGCTGGTGCCGCCGCTGCAGGCCTCTTCATCTTTGGCGCTTCCTCATGTGCCGCCGCAGGCCTCTCCATCTTTGGCGATTCCTCATGTTTCTCCTCGCCCTCATCCTCCTCCGCCGCAGCGGCGGGCCTTTTCATTCTCAAGGCTTCGCCATCGCCCTCATCCTCATCCTCCGCCGCACTCGCTGGTTTCTTGAGCGCTGGCTTTTTGCGAACTTCCCCCTCTTCTTCCTCATCTTCTTCAGCCGTTTCCTCCTCGCCATCTTCCTCAGCCTCTTCAGCGTCTTCTTCTTCTTCCTCCTCCTCCTCCTCCTCGTCCTCCTCCTCGTCCTCCTCCTCCTCTTCTTCTGCGTCATCCTCCTCCGCCTTCGCGCCCTCGTTCTTCTTCTCGTTGCCGTCGTCTCGGGACGTCGCGGCCGCAGGCTGTATGGTATCCGACTTCGATGCTGATGCTGGCTTCTTCCTGGCAGCAGTCTGCTTGGGCGCTGGTTTGACGTGCTCCTTTTTTTGTTCCTCTGCCTTTTCTTTCGGCATGCCATTTATCATCTCTGTCATCAGCTTCTTCATGCAGGCAATCGCCTAGGCGAGGAGAGGGAGGATGCGGAGCGAACGGCTGGGGGGCCACCGGGTCACCGGCTCCACGGCAGGTCAATGCACATGCGTTGACCGACCGTTGACCCGATGACCCCCCGTCCTGTTCCTCTCCAATCCTCCCCCACCTCTCCCATGTGGCCTTCTCCTTCTCGTCTGCGGCGCGGCGCGTCACGACCAGCTGCAACATCGGCTTCGCCGCGCCCTGGACCCTGAAGATGCGCAGGAAAGCGACGTCAGGAACATCTGGGCGACGCTCCTTAGCGTCGATCAGTCGCCACGTAACTCCGTCCTTGGCCACCTCCCGCTTGATCTCGGTCACGCTTGAAGGGCGCCGATCCCCTGATCCGTTGTCCACCTGCAGGGCCCTCAACGTCTTATTTGTCAAGTTCGGGATCCTGCACGTGAATCCGTCATGCCACTTCGCTAGGACCAACTCATCGTCGCCCTCGTCGTTGGGCTGCAGCGGCTCAGACTCCTCCCGCAAAGGCTTCTTGACGCCCTTCTGAGTCCGATAGCAAACCTGCTCGTCCCGTATGTACTTGACATCGTACTCCGTCTTGTCGGTCCCGTCCTGCATGAACGGGCTGAGCCACTCGGGAACGTTGTCGCTATCTCTGGCTTTCGTGATGGCCTGCTGGATGTCGCGGCGCATGGCTTGAGCTCGTCTGCCCATTTTCGTTGCCCATGCCTCTGCTTCGGGACCGAGCTGCCATTCTGAATTGCGGTTCTCCGCCACCTTCTGGAAAAGGATCTTCAGCTCCCCCTTGTTACCAGCGTCCTTGTTTGGGAGGTGGAGGATCAAGAAAAGGAAGACGAACACGAGGGTGACGACGACGACGGCCCAGTCCTTCACGGCAACGATGAGTTCGCGATGCTTCACCAGGGCGTCGATGTCCCTGCGGCCTGCGAGCTCATCGCGGTATGGCAAGAGCGCGTTCGTCTTAAGTAATGCGCTGATGCGGTTCACAATATCCTCGTTCGGTGGGGTCGCCATCCTCGTGGCGCCGACAACGCGCTTGAGCCACAATTTCAAGGAGAGACGGGCCCGCGGTGACAGGACACCCCGAAGAAATCTAAGGCCCCCCAGACACCCCAGGACGCCTAAGGCCTCTAGACACCTAAAATGCCTGAGGCCCTATAGACGCTCCAGAACACATAAAGCCCAGACTCCCCAAAACGCTTCAGGCCCCTAGACGCCCACTGAGACAACCAAGGCAGAACGGCACGGCACGACACGGCACGGCAAAATCCCGCCGCCCCGCAGATCGGGGACCTTGGGCGTGATCCGCGGGCCGTCATCGGGCCCCCAGGCGCGTGAGTCCGCCGACCCCCGCTTTAGGGCGCCCCGCGCTTGAGACCGCGGCGCGCCCTACAGCGCGGGCGCACGTTCCCAGGCGTACTCCGCGGACCTCACTGGGGTCCCAGGCGTGATATATATATATATATATATATATATAAATATGTGCATGCAACATAATTTACGGTCATACATACACATTATATAAATATATGTATGTTTACATATGTGTATATGTATATACACACATGTATATATGCATATTTGTGTATATATACATATATATATATATATATATATACATATGCATATAACTATGTGTACATGTATGCATATACATGTATATGTATGTACATATGCATTTGCACTTACGTATATGTATATGTATATATATATATGGTTATGTATAAATGTATATGCATATATGTATACTTGTACATACATATGTATATGTAGTGGCCACGCAACATATAATCGTGCACATGCTGTACAAGCGTCGTTGGATCAAAAAACATGGTTTGGATCAAAAAACATGGTTTTGATCAAAAAACATGGTCTGGATCAAAACTGTGCCGTGTGACCACGTTGGATCAAAAACAAAACCTTGGATCAAAATTGCAGTGTCGAAGAGTGTCGGATCAAAAAACGCGATCCGAGCAACCCCAGGGCAGAACTCCATTCCCGGGCCACATTTTGAATGCCCGGAGCCAACTGTAGGCCACTTCGTGGTCTTCGAGTTCCCAGGACTTCATTCCCGGGCTACATTTTGAATGCTGAGGCAGGCTGATGCTGAGCCTGAGGCAGGCTGAGGGTGAGGCAGGCTGAGGCTGAGGCCGAGGCTGAAGGCAGACTGAGGGTGAGGCTGAAGCAGGCTGAGGCTGAGGCTGAGGCAGGCTGAGGCTGAGGCTGAGGCAGGCTGATGCTGAGGCAGGCTGAGGCTGAGGCTGAGGCTGATGCAGGCTGAGGCTGAGGCAGCCTGAGGCTGAGGCCGAGGCCGAAGGCAGACTGAGGCTGAGGCTGAAGCAGGCTGAGGCTGAGGCTGAGGCAGGCTGAGGCTTAGGCTGAGGCAGGCTGAGGCTGACGCAGGCTGAGGCTGAGGCTGTGATTGCGACTGCCGTTGCCGCTGCGACTGTCATCGCGAATGCGACTACGACTGCGAGAACAGCAGAACTTTACAACTGGATTCTCATCTGAATCTTCAGGGGAATGCTTTCAGATATGATCCTACACATCGCTGTTAGGTTGCTTTGACGGGATAGTTAGTATGAAGCTCGGAGGCGGGATTTGCAGTTAGAGCTCATTTTGGGTGCTAGTGGTGGTCCCTGGAAGATAACCCGAGCGACAGGCCATTGCCAGAGCCCAGATTCATACGAACCGACGGGAAATTATCAAATGCGTCTTCCTGTAGACATCAGCGGGTCTGAGATCGGCCTGAAGCACGAGAAATGTTCGGAAACCTCTGATCATTAGGGTGCAACTTTGGGTGTTTGCGACGGTTTTTCGAAGATAACTCGAGCCACAGGCCATTGCCAGAGCCCTGATGCATTCGAATCAACAGGACATGATCCAGTGCATCTCTCTGAAGGCACCAGAGGGCTGATATCAGCCTGGCAAGGGAGAAATCTTTGAAACGCTGTAATAATTAGAATGCAACTTTCGCTGGGCAGTCGCAAGAGGAAGCTCTACGAGTTCCCGGCGGTAACCAAGGTTGACGATTTACCGCCCGCGCCCAGTTTGGTCTGTTGAAAATTATGTTCTCGAAACTTGTCCATTCGTTTGAGTCCTTGTATTTTCTCCCGCCATCTTCGATATTATTCCCATTCGCCATCTCAATCTCAGCTCGACCGGGTGGATATTAATTTGAATTTCGGCTGAGGCGGGGTCGGCTGCATTCGAATCGACAGGAAATGATCCAATGCGTCTCCCTGTAGGCAGCAGAGGGCTGAGATCGGCCTGCGGAGGTGATTGCTATAGGCCTTGCCTCCCTCTCCTTCTCCTCGTTCTCAAGCTTCTTGTTGGTTCAAGGGCTAGTTTTTTTCAGTTGCTTCTTCCGACCTCGGATTTTCCGGGTGGCAACTGTCTCTCCATCGGTGTCTTTCGCCTGAACCAGAACATCTGGATACCAGCTTATCATGTCCGACTTGTCTGCTGTCTTGCCGCAAATGCACGCGTGGCTTTCCGCGAATGCGCCTGCCGTGCTGTTTGGTCTGTTCACCACGCGGTTTCCGAACTTCAAGAAGAAGCAACTGCAATCGCATTTCTCCTTCGTGGATCGCGCTGGAATCCTCTACATTTCCTCGGAGGGCACCGCGGGCAATGATGCTGGCGGTGCGGCCGTGCTGACGAGTTTGTCAGGGTCAGAAATTGCGGCGCAACGGGAGTTGCAAACATGGGACACACGGTTTTCAGTGGGTGGGTTGGTGCACGTCGACCTTGACAGGGACGTGCGCCTCGCTAAGGTCATCGAGTGCCGCGGGGTGTCCATGGACCTCTTCGTGCTGGCCAACGAGGTGCTCGCCCCAGACATCCCCTTGTGCGCCATCCGGCAGTTGCCCGAGCAGTTGGCCGCAGACGCGTTGGCGAAGGCTCATGGGAAGGATGTTCGGTTTGGCGGAAGTTTCCGCTATGGAGACTTTGTCGAAGTTCGTTGGCCCGAGCACGGAATCTACGTGCCAGTCAGGGCGCCGGAAACCAGGACACTGACTAACCAGGACGCAGACGCGTTCTCTGCGCTGCAGGAGTCGTTTCGTTTTTGTTTCGTTATTACCTAACAGCGAAGATTGATAGGTTTCTAATGGGGCCAAAAGAGAGCATCTGATGACTCCCCAGGGGGGCCCGGGCGGGAACCGGACACGAGAACCAGGCTCGTTTTAAACAAACAATCACTCACTTCGTGCTCTTCGACCTCCCAGAACCCCATTCCCGGGCTACATTTTGCATGCCCGGAGCCAACTGTAGGCCACTTCGTGCTCTTCGACTTCCCAGAACTCCACTCCGGGGCCACATGTTGGATGCCCGGAGCCATCTGTAGGCCACTTCGTGCTCTTCGATTTCCCAGAACCATACTCCCGGGCCACATTTTGGATGCCCGGAGCCAACTGTAGGCCGCTTCGTGGTCTTCGAGTTCCCATAACACCCTCCCGGGCCACATTTTGAATGCCCGGAGCCAACTGTAGGCCATTTCGTGGTCTTCGAGTTCCCAGAACTCCATTCCCGGGCCACTTTTTGAATGCCCGGAGCCAACTGTAGGCCACTTTGGTTTTCGAGTTCCCAGAACTCCATTCCCGGGCCACATTTTGAATGCTCCCAGATATGCTTCCAGATATGCTCCTACACATTGCTGTTAGGTTGCTTTGCCGGGATAATTTTTTGTTTCGTTATTGGAGGGGAGATTCTTTGCTGATGCTGACCTCCAGGTTTATTCTTGGAATATTGCGTCGACTGGTTTCTTGGCGAAGCCGTTTCGAAAAGTTGGTTTCTAGCGTTGCTGCGTGTCCTGGTTTAGCGTGTCTGGGTCTACGGGGCCCTGGGCCAGCGAAGTTCAGCCGCTATTGTTGCGGATGCAAGAAAGCGTTCGTGATGGTCAAATTCTCCGATGGCGGCCAGGATTCCAAAGTCGCAGTGGCAGATGTCCGAGCACGCGGCGTCCCTTTCGTGGGCGAGGTGTTCGAGGAGAGCCCAGGGGCGCCGCAACGTGGGCCGCAGACTCGTTCTTTGTTTTCGCGCAAGGACGAGCAGCCTGAGGTGGTGGAAGACCCAGGATCAACTCGGTTTCCGGGCGTGGTGGTGAGTGTGAACGAAGAGAAGGGAGTTTGCACGATCGCTTCCCGTTTCGGATCCATTTTCTGCCCCCGAAGCGCAGTCATTGCTGACGGCGAGGCGAAGTTTGAGATTTCTTGGGATCGCCAGCTTCGCTTGCAGGCCAACGACGTTGTTCTGGGCCCCCCTGAAGAAAATCGAGTCGGTGCAGCGGTGGGCTCAGCGCGCCAGGGGCGCGGGCGCAATCTTGCGCGCCAGGGCGGAAGTCCCCGAGAATAAGGGGATTGATAAGAAGAACGCTGCCACGCTTGAGCGCATGAAGGCGGCCCATGTGGCCAAGCGCGCGCGTGCAGATGGGTGGGCCTACAACTGTCTCCGCCTCGCTGGGCAGCATTTGTCCTCCCGCTCTCTTTCTCTCTCCGCCGCTTCGCTGGGGCCTTCGCAATCGAGGGGCGTTTGATTCAAGACGCGCCCCTTACAGTCGATCGTAACGCATGCGCGGCGCATTCTGCGGCGTGCTTTGTTTGGCGAGGAGGTCCACTCGCGCGGGCCACGTGAGTTTCCTCCTCGGGATTAGTTTCGGATCTTCCGAGGAGATTTGGATCAACTTTGAAAAAACTTGCTTTCCCGCGCTTCCCAAGGCATTCCTTTACTATGGAAAGATATTTTCGATCTCGGAGGGGCCAAGTTTCGGTTTTGACGCCGGAACCAGTTAGACGCCATCACGATGCGGCCCGGCAGTGCCAGAACCTTCCGTGCTGGCGCCCGAATGCATTTGACTTCGCAGAGCTTTCGGGCGGGCGTTATGGGGCTGTCGAAATGAATTGGCCGACGTTCGTAGTTGCCTTCTCGCGCCAGGGATCTACCGACGCGCTCCCGTCGGTCGTTCGTGCAAGCCGACGGCTTTGGTTCGCGCGGTTGTCCAGGCCCCGGCGGGCCCCCCTAAGGCTGCGCATCAAAAGGCGTTGTTGCCGAGGGTCACCCGTTCGTGTTGCCGATCCAGTTGTTGCGGATGCCACTAAGGTTGCGCACGAAAGGGCCTTCTTGCCACAGGCCACGAAAGAGGGAGATGTAATTTTGGCGTGCGGCTTTCAATGAAGTGTTTTTTCTCTTGTAGGTGTTTTCCAGCGATTTCTAATGTGAGCCTCCGTCCTCTTCACATCCTCCTCCTGCCTTTCCTCCTGCGTTTCTTTGTCTTGTGCCAGGTTGCCGGAGTCGCGCTCGGCGCTGGTGTCCGGTGCCTGTCATGTTTCTTTGCTCTGAATTCAATTGCTTCGCCCATTCCGCCGGCCGTGGGATGTTATTTTGGTGATGGTACAAGCTTCTTCAGGATCCCTTGGGGGGTTCTTGGGGCTCCTCGGCGGCTTCTTGGGCTATGATGGGTCTCTTGCGGAGATATTGGCGGCTTCTTGAGGTGCTTTTTGGGCGGGAGAAAGGGTTGTCGATTATAGCGCCCACTGTGGAACCGACGATCCGTCTGAGTGGTTGCGGACATTGCTTTCTTTCATGGGATGGCCTGGGATTTGACCCGGACCTATGCGGGATCTCGCGAATATACTATTCGTTCGGAGGCTCCCAAGGGCCGCCTTACGCGCATGAATTAGACATGTTGTGAAATCGTTACCGGACATCTTACACGTTTCTTGGGTGTGAGCTGGCGAATTTCTTTGCCGCCTCGCCAGTTGGGCAAGCGAGTGTCCGCACTTCCTCATAAGAAGTATGGGGGTGTAGAGGAGGATGATGATGAGGAGGAGGATTTGAAGCTATAGAAACGCACGTAAGACGTTACAGATTCGTGTTCCAGTAAAGGGCCTAATGGATAGGAGCATACGTAAAAGACATTGGATTGGAGCCATTTCTGTGCGTAAGCTTGAGTGTGAGTGAGTTTGGGTATGAGTGTGATGAGCACGAGTCTGAGTCTAAGTGAGCCTGAGCACAAGTGAGTTTGAGGATAAGTGAATCTGAGACATTCTCGCCCTCTGCGCCCCTTGGGGTGTAGAAACCAACGCCTCACCCGAGACATCCCCATACTTTACTCAGAACCCAGACGAATGTGGCCACCAAAGAATAAGCAAACTGCTCGAGACATCCTCAACATCTGCCCCCCTCCCCCCCCGGGGTGCGAAAACCCGCGCTTCGCTGGAGACATCCTGAACATCTGCTCCGAAAGCGGATGCTGTCGGGTGGTGAAACATGAGAACCGTTTGAGACATCCCACCATTTTGTCGCGAGGGAGGAGTGCATTACCCCCTGGCGTCTCCCCCGTGGGGATGCTGAAATCTGCGCTTCGCGCGAGACATCCTCAGAATCTGCTCCGCCATCATCGCCATCATCATCATCATCATCATCAGCATCATCATTATCATCATCATTTGCTTCTGCAGCACATCACATCGTAACCATAACAACACACACATAGTATTCAATCACGTACGATACGATAACACAACATATTACTGGAGTAGTAGCAAGAGCCCCATCTTTTGGAGATGGGAAATAAAAGCAGAGAAGCGACAGAGCAACGAGAGAGTATCCCCCCCGTCGTTCCCTCTCCTTCATTCGGACGGGGCCAGGACGAGGATAAGTCCGCTCCAGGGCGTTCTAGAACGCTCCCAGAGCGTTCTGGAACGCTCTGAGAAGGTTGCGGCGACGGAGACATCCTCCAGAGCCGCCTGAACTAAGAGATTCTCGATTCAGCCTCCCCCAGTTTTATCATCGTCATTGCTTCGTCTCATTCACCTTGATTTGCCCTCAGGGTCTGAGGCACGCTTAAGGCCCGTCTTTCTGCCACCACCTGCTGCCCGGACAGCGAAAGCCCCTCACACAAACGCGGGCTTCCTGGCATCGCTCGGGCGTGTGTGATGTGGCACGGCGAGGACCATCGGGGAGCCTCCTGGATCATCGAGCAACAGAAACTCGCACGAGACCGAACAATGCCTGTGGACTGGACGTCTGAGCGATGGCGAAGCTTGCGCCCGGCGCTCGCGCGCCTCTAGTCGTCGAGGTCCGAAGGTTCGGTCCATCGCCCGCCTCTCCGGGCAGAGGAAAGAGCCACAACCAATGGGGACGGAATGAATGGATGCGAAGATCAAGGGAGGACAAAACTTTGACCACGATCAGCTGAGTTCACTAAGCGGCCCTGGACGTTTGCTAAGCAGCCCTGCCCTTTTTCGGTTCCTTCTTGAGTTGCTTTTTCTGAATTGCTTCGCTTGTCGTGGACAAGGTTTTCTGCTCTCTAGCTGTAAGACTAACAGCAAGCCAATGTTGAGCAGGAGTTGCTGTCGGCGTCGCTGCGGACGTTTTTCGTTTGAGACAGAAGGTCGCCTGCCCAAGAGGGCGACCGCTGTTGTTTTTGGACAACATGATGTTTGGTGCATCGTGCCGATTTTTGTCGTACCCATCCCAGGCGTCCACAACTAATTGAATTTTTCGGGAGGGTGCCTCGGGGGAAAACCCACTGATCTCGACAGCAGCACTTCGGTTAGTTGTTGTCGTGGTCTTTTGGCCGTCCTGAGACGCCAGGTCGATCGCAACCAGCACGAGGCTGGTTTTCGTGTTCCGACAATGTGTGTTATGCTTAAGACGCCCCCCAGGGTGTGGCATTTTTCTCTGGCTCACCTTGTGGAACGGATTGAGCGCACGAAGCCGAAACACGCGCGGTGAATGGACGTCCGAGCAATGGCAAGGCCTTGGGCAGTGGTAGCGGCAGGCTGGGCCACAGATACAGGTTAGGGCATGGCCCGGCATCGATTCTCAATTCGGTGGCGAGCCCTGGGGGGGAGTGAGAAGAGGCGGGCCTTCCCAGAAGGCCCGGATCCCCCGGCCTGCTGAGAAGTCTGCTAAGCTTTCCCCGAATACAGAAAGAAGGGCACTTCTCAGACGGCCGGAGGGCTTCCGAGAAGTCCCGCCGCCTTCTGCAAGGACCCCCTCCCCCCCCCCTCACTCGCCGCCGATCCATGGTACAGACCCTCTGTGGGCAGACCGCCCATCTTTTTCAGCAGCGGACGAGGCTTCCCCTCGTCCCGCCCTCTTCTGTGGGCACGGCAGTCGCAGTCACAGCCTCAGCCTCAGCCTACGTCAGCCTCAGCCTGCCTCAGCCTCAGCCTCAGCCTGCCTCAGCCTCAGCCTCAGCCTGCTTCAGTCTCAGCCTCAGTCTGCCTTCAGCCTCGGCCTCAGCCTCAGCCTGCCTCAGCCTCAGCCTGCATCAGCCTCAGCCTCAGCCTCAGCCTGCCTCAGCATCAGCCTGCCTCAGCCTCAGCCTCAGCCTGCTTCAGCCTCAGCCTCAGTCTGCCTTCAGCCTCGGCCTCAGCCTCAGCCTGCCTCACCCTCAGCCTGCCTCAGGCTCAGCATCAGCCTGCCTCAGCATTCAAAATGTAGCCCGGGAATGGAGTTCTGGGAACTCGAAGACACGAAGTGGCCTACAGTTGGCTCCGGGCATTCAAAATGTGGCCCGGGAATGGAGTTCTGGGAACTCGAAGACCACGAAGTGGCCTACAGTTGGCTCCGGGCATTCAAAATGTGGCCCGGGAATGGAGTTCTGGGAACTCGAAGAGCACGAAGTGGCCTACAGTTGGCTCCGGGCATTCAAAATGTGGCCCGGGAATGGAGTTCTGGGAACTCGAAGAGCACGAAGTGGCCTACAGTTGGCTCCGGGCATTCAAAATGTGGCCCGGGAATGGAGTTCTGGGAAGTCGAAGAGCACGAAGTGGCCTACAGTTGGCTCCGGGCATCCAAAATGAGGCCCGGGAATGGAGTTCTGGGAAGTCGAAGAGCACGAAGTGGCCTACAGTTGGCTCCGGGCATTCAAAATGTGGCCCGGGAATAAAGTTCTGGGAGGTCGAAGAGCACGAAGTGTGTGACTGTTTGCTTAAAACGAGCCCGGTTCTCGCCTGTCCGGCTCCCGCCCAGACCCCCCTGGGGAGTCATCAGATGCTCTCTTTTGACCCCATTAGAAACCTATCAGTCGTCGCTGTTGGGTAATATTCACCGATCGAGCTGAGAATAAGATGGCGAGTCGGAATAAGATCCAAGATTGCCGCACAAAATATTATCCCGGCAAAGCAACCTAACAGCGATGTGTAGGAGCATATCTGGAAGCATTCCCCTTAAGATTCACATGAGAATCTTGTTGTAGAATTCTGCTGTTCTCGCAGTCGTAGTCGCATTCGCGATGGCAGTCGCAGTGGCAACGGCAGTCGCAGTCACAGCCTCAGCCTCAGCCTGCCTCAGCCTCAGCCTCAGCCTGCCTCAGCCTCAGCCTGCCTCAGCCTCAGCCTCAGCCTGCTTCAGCCTCAACATCAGTCTGCCTTCAGCCTCGGCCTCAGCCTCAGCCTGCCTCAGCCTCAGCCTGCATCAGCCTCAGCCTCAGCCTCAGCCTCCTCAGCCAGCCTGCCTCAGCCTCAGCCTCAGCCTGCCTCAGCAGCCTCAGCCTCAGCCTGCCTTCAGCCTCAGCCTCAGTCTGCCTTCAGCCTCGGCCTCAGCCTCAGCCTGCCTCAGCCTCAGCCTGCATCAGCCTCAGCCTCAGCCTCAGCCTGCCTCAGCATCAGCCTGCCTGCCTCAGCCTCAGCCTCAGCCTGCCTCAGCCTCAGCCTCAGCCTCCTGCTTCAGCCTCAGCCTCAGCCTCTGCCTTCAGCCTCGGCCTCAGCCTCAGCCTGCCTCAGCCTCAGCCTGCATCAGCCTCAGCCTCAGCCTCAGCCTCAGCCTCAGCATCAGCCTGCCTCAGCCTCAGCCTCAGCCTGCCTCAGCCTCAGCCTCAGCCTGCTTCAGCCTCAGCCTCAGTCTGCCTTCAGCCTCGGCCTCAGCTTCAGTCAGCCTCAGCCCTCAGCCTCAGCCTGCCTCAGCCAGCCAGCCTCAGCCTCAGCCTCAGCCTCAGCCTCAGCCTGCAGCATCAGCCAGCCTCAGCCTGCCTTCAGCCTCAGCCTCAGCCTCAGCCTCAGCCTGCAGCCTCAGCTCAGCCTCAGCCTGCCTCAGCCTCAGCCTCAGCCTGCTTCAGCCTCAGCCTCAGTCTGCCTTCAGCCTCGGCCTCAGCCTCAGCCTGCCTCAGCCTCAGCCTGCATCAGCCTCAGCCTCAGCCTCAGCCTGCCTCAGCATCAGCCTGCCTCAGCCTCAGCCTCAGCCTGCCTCAGCCTCAGCCTCAGCCTGCTTCAGCCTCAGCCTCAGTCTGCCTTCAGCCTCGGCCTCAGCCTCAGCCTGCCTCAGCCTCAGCCTGCATCAGCCTCAGCCTCAGCCTCAGCCTGCCTCAGCCTCAGCCTGCCTCAGCCTCCTCAGCCTCAGCCTGCCTCAGCCTCAGCCTCAGTCTGCCTGCCTCAGCCTCAGCCTCAGCCTCAGCCTCAGCCTGCCTCAGCCTCAGCCTGCCCAGCGCCTCAGCATCAGCTTGCCTCAGGATTCAAAACGTGGCCCGGGAGTGGAGATTTGGGAACTCGAAAACCCCGAAGTGGCCTACAGTTGGCTCCGGGCATTCAAAATCATGCCCAGGAATGAAGTTCTGGGAACTCGAAGACCACGAAGTGGCCTACAGTTGGCTCCGGGCATTCAAAATGTGGCCCGGGAATGGAGTTCTGGGAACTCGAAGACCACGAAGTGGTCTACAGTTGGCTCCGGGCATTCAAAATGTGGCCCGGGAGTGGAGTTCTGGGAACTCGAAGACCACGAAGTGGCCTACAGTTGGCTCCGGGCATTCACCCGGGAATGGAGTTCTGGGAAGTCGAAGAGCACGAAGTGGCCTACAGTTGGCTCCGGGCATTCAAAATGTTGCCCGGGAATGGAGTTCCTTGCTGGACTGAGCTCCCCTGGAGGAAGAATGTGTCCCGGGAATGGAGTTCTGGGAAGTCGAAGAGCACGAAGTGGCCTACAGTTGGCTCCGGGCATTCAAAATGTTGCCCGGGAATGGAGTTCTGGGAGGTCGAAGAGCCCCACGAGAACCTTGCGGAACCCAGCCACCGAGTGGACTGAGAACCACAGAGAACCCCTGGAGGAACCCAGAAATTCAAAGAAAAACTTAATTTTCATATTCGACAACACTTCCCCCTTCTATACATCGACAAATGAGGCTCCCAAAAGAACCCTGCAGAACCCAGCCACTGAGTTGACTGAGAACCACAGAGATCCCCTGGGAGAACCCAGAAATTCAAAGCAAAACATAATTCTCAAATTCGACAGCCTTTCCCCCTTTCTATACATAAAAAAAAAGAACCCCCAAGAGAACCTTGCAGAACCCAGCCACTGAGTGCACTGAGAACCACAGAGAACCCCCGGGAGAGCCCAGAAATTCAAAGAAAAACATACCTTTTTAAATTTCGACAGCATTTCCCCCCTCTATACATCGAAAAAGGAAAAACCCCAAGAGAACCCTGCAAAACCCAGCCACTGAGTGAACTGAGAACCACAGAGAAACCCCGGAAGAACCCAGAAATTCAAAGAAACACAGAATTTTCAAATTTGACAGCATTTCCCTACCTTCTATACATCGAAGAAAGAGAACCCCCAAGAGAACCATGCAGAACCCAGCCACTGAGTGCACTGAGAACCACAGAGAACCCCGGGAGAACCCAGAAATTCAAAGAAAAATATAATTTTCAAATTCGACAGCATTTCCCTTTTTCTATACATGGAAAAAAGATAAACCCTGCAGAGCCCAGCCGCTGAGTGCACTGAGAACCACAGAGAACCCCCGGGATAATCCAGACATTCAAAGAAAAACTTAATTTTCAAATTCGACAGCATTTCCCCTTTCTATACATCGAAAAGAGAGAACCCCCAAGAGAACCCTGCAGAACCCAGCCACTGAGTGCACTGAGAACCACAGAGAACCCTTGGGAGAACCCAGGAATTCAAAGATAAACATAGTTCTCAAATTCGACAGCATTAGCATCTCCCCCCTTCTATACATGGAATAAAGAAAAAGCCCAACAGAACCATGCAGAACCCAGCCACTGAGTTTACTGAGAACCACAGAGAACCCCCGGGAGAACCCAGAAATTCAAAGAAAAGCTTACTTTTCAAATTCGACAGCATGTCCCCCTTCCATACATCGAAAAAGAGAACCCCCAAGAGAACCCTGCAGAACCCAGCCACTGAGTGCACTGAGAACCACAGAGAACCCCTGGAAGAACCCAGATATTCAAAGGAACACATAATTTTCAAATTCGAAATATTTCCACAAGTCTATATTTCGAAAAAAGAGAACCCCCAAGAGAACCCTGCAGAACCCAGCCACTAAGTGGACTGAGAACCACAGAGAACCACTGAGGGAACCAAGCAATCCCACTAGCCCTCTAGGCGTCGGTGGTTTAGAAGGTTTCCTCCTCCACCCCTCCTTCTTCCCTTGCGGGGAGGGGTTTACCCCTCCCCCTACCCCCTCCCCACTGACATGGACAGGGGGGGCCGCGTCGCGTTAAAGCGTCCAAGATCGACCCCTGGGAGGGCTAAAATTCGACACCCCTCACGAGGATCATGGCTCCTGAGGGGGGAACCCTAATTGAGGGACCCCCCTTCGTTGATCAATCTCCTCCAAGATGCTCCAAGAGACGTCTTGGAGCCCCTCTTGGGCCCTGCGCGAAGGCTGGCGGAGCGCCGCCCGCTCGCCCGCAAGGCCCAAGAGCCAACCAAAACGTTCGAAGATACCTCCAAGACCCACCAGGGAGGAGGAAGAGGCGGAGGAGGAGGAGGAGGAGGAGGAGGGGGAGAGGAGGACGAGAAGGCGGAGGAGAAGAAGGAAGAAGGGGAGGAGAACAGCTGCCGATCATCGGCGCTCTTCGTTCGAATGCCTGGTGTAGGATGGGCTGGTGGGGATTCGCGAAGCGTCAACAATTAGACCTCGCCATCCCTGCGGGGGGCTGCGATCTATGAAACTGTCGCCATGTTCGAGGCCTGCTGGGGGGCTCAGCACAGTGAGGGCGACGCGCAGATTCAAATTAGAGCTCGCCATCCCTGGGGGGCTGCGATCTGTGAAACTGTCGCCATTTTCGAGGCCTGCTGGGGGGCTCAGCACAGTGAGGGCGACGCGCAGATTCAAATTAGACCTCGCCATCCCTTGGGGGCTGCGATCTGTGAAACTGTCGCCATTTTCGAGGCCTGCTGGGGGGCCCAGCACAGTGACGCCACGCGCGGACCCAAATTGGACCTCGCCATCCCTGGGGGGGCTGCGATCTGTGAAACTGTCGCCACTTTCGAGGCCTGCTTGGGGGCCCAGCACAGTGACGCCACGCGCGGACCCAAACAAGATCTCGCCATCCCTTGGGGGCTGCGAATCTGTGAAACTGTCGCCACTGTCGAGGCCTGCTGGGGGGCCCAGCACAGTGACGCCACGGGCGGGCACCAATCAGACCTCGCCAAACTCTGGGGGGCTGCGAATCTGTGAAACTGTCGCAACTTTCGAGGCCTGCTCGGGGGCCCAGCACAGTGACGCCACGGGCGGACCCAAATTAGACCTCGCCATCCCTGGGGGGCTGCGAACCTGCGACACTGTCGCCACGTTCGAGGCCTGCTGGGAGGCCCAGCACAGTGAGGGCGACGCGCGGATTCAAATTAGACCTCGCCATCCCTGGGGGGCTGCGATCTGTGAAACTGTCGCCACTTTCGAGGCCTGCTGGGCGGCCCAGCACAGTGACGCCACGCGCGGACCCAAATTGGACCTTGCCATCCCTGGCGGGCTGCGATCTGTGAAACTGTCGCAACTTTCGAGGCCTGCTGGGGGGCCCAGCACAGTGACGCCACGCGCGGACCCAAACAAGATCTCGCCATCCTTGGGGGGCTGCGATCTGCGATGCCCGCTTTCGATGTGGCTAGGGTTGCTCAGGGGTTGTAACTAATCAGGGTAATATAGTCCTTGTCCTGTAGCCAGTGTCCTGCGAGTCTCTCGAGTTCCATCTGCAGACGTATGTAACCCTCGCTCCGTCATCGCCCCCTTTATAAAGGGTCCTAAACTATTTGCGCCCCGCGTTTGCGCAGGGGTTGAACACCTCCGCAACCCTCCCATTCCTCGACACTCTCCCGCACTCTTCCCAACATTTTTGGAACCCTCCCATTCCTCAACATGCCTCCGGCACTCCTCCCGGAACCTCCGCGACCCTCCCATTCCTCCACACACCTTCGCACTCTTTCCAACACCTCCGCAACCCTCCCATTCCTCCACACACCTCCGTACTCTTCTCGAGGCACGTATGTGTCCCCAGCAATGGCAGACATGCGTGTGGCGGTTGAGGCCAGGCAGACTACCCGCCTCGCCGCTCACTCGATTTTTCCCTTCGTACTCTTTCCGAGGCACGTATGTGTCCCCAGCAATGGCAGACATGCGTGTGGCGGTTGAGGCCAGGCAGACTACCCGCCTCGCCGCTCACTCGATTTTTCCTCTCGGCGTGAACGTGAACTTTCGAGGCTCCGCGCGAGTCTCTTGGATCGGCGCCGGGCCCCCGTGGCCTTTTCAGGCCAGATCTGCCGCTGCTTATCTGGGCAAGTTCTGCCGCACGCGTCAAGCTGACACCGCACTTCCTTTTACCTTGTTGCCGCCTTGGGGGGCAGGATTTGTCCGCCCCAGTCCTCGCCGGCAGCATGCAGCGGGTCCAGAGAACCTTTTTCAGTATACCGTGCGTGTTCGTTTGAGCGGCTCGATTGACCGTCGTGGCTACGAGTGGGTCGAGTCAGAAAACCCTTTCCTTTCTCTCTCTCTCGAGCAAGAGAATGACGCAGACGACGTTCGGAGGTCCGCAGTCCTTGGATCGGCGCTGGACCCCCTTCCGTGGCGCGCGGAGCGCGCCAGGGGCGGGGCCACGGGCGCTGCCGGGGGGGCTGAGCGCCGATCTGAAACATTCGCGCAGAGCTCCGACGGTTGTGATTGTGCAGTTTTCGTCCTGTTCTTCCTGACTGCTGGTCTCGTCCTCCTGGTGCCTTCTGTCGCCGCTCCCCCCTCTTGAGTCTCTTCTGCCTTCAGCCCCTGCTCGCTCGTCGAGGGTCTCGATTTGGCAGCCAGCGCCTTCGAAGTACAGTGGTAACGGTCTCGGGGCCAGATCATCACACTGCACACCCGTGTTGTTGGCCGCACTGGTGCGAGCGTTCTTTGATGTACTAGATGGCTGGTCGGCGGCGCCCGGTTGGACGATGCTGCATGGGTTGGCCGTGGGGTCTCTGGTGCCAGGGCTCGACCTTAAGTGTGTTTTGGCGATTTCGTTGGCTGTTTTCGTTTCGATGTCGTTTTGCAGCAGAGGCGGATTGAGCACAAAACGACGGAAAAAAGAGAACAGCACGAACACGAAAACACTGTTTAGGTCGAGACCTGTTGCGTGCAGGCCTATGAAGTTTGGGCGGGGGATCTGTCAGGGTCGGTGTATCTCTGCGACCACTTGCGAACTCTACCCCTGCAGGTCCAATCGACGCTGGGGTATCGGTCGGGGGCCCCCAAACGGTGCGGTGACCACACCGTGCGGTGAGTCGTTGGGGATCACCGCACGGTTTTGGGACTCGGGTCGTTCTCCGAGGACGTCTCGGGCGACATGGGCCTCCAGAGTCCCAAAACCGTGCGTTGACGGTCCGTGCGGTGATGCCTCTTAGGGTTCCGAGGTCACCGCGCGGTTTGTCACCGCACCGTTTCGGGACTCCAAAATCGGACGCACCCGCCGGGCGTCACTTCGCTGCAGGCATCCTCCGAGTCCTGAGCCCAGGCCAGCTTTTCAGGAATCGGGTCCACATGAGCGACGGCAAATTTGAGGGTCGACTACGCCGACATCGTCGCGTGAGCTGCTCCCGTAAGGTCGCGCGCAAGCGCCCTTGTTTCCACTGTAGCGTGCCACGCTGGCGGTCCCCGAAAGCCACCGCGTAAGGTCGCCATGGCATCTCGCGTAAGACGCGTTTCTTCTCGTCGCTCATATGTGGTTCACCGAGCGCGTTCCACCACTCGCAGAGGGCCTTCTCACACGCGTCCGAAGCGCACATGTTGTCACATGCTCGCACCGTGGTAACGGATCGTAGATCCCCCCGCGGCGGCTCCAGGCCGCGTGCGAACAGCTACCCTGCGCGCAGTGGAGCGCGCTTGTCTTCTCCGAGAGACCCGCCCCGTCTCGCTTTCCCCCCCAGGCTCGCCGACGGTGGGCCTGCCAGGGGGGTGGTGCGCCAGCCACGGCGCCTCGCCACAGTCCCCCCGCTGCTGCCACCGCAGCGGAAGCAGCGATCGCCTGGAGCGGGCAGCCCTGCCTCTTATGAAGAAGAAACAGCGGCGTGAACGCGAACGTTCGGGGCTCCGCGCGGGTTGCCCACCGGTTGGGATGTCTGAGCGATAGCGGCCGTGATCGGCCCTCCCCCTCCCCCTCCTCCTCCTCCTCCTCCTCCTCCTCCTCCTCCTCCTCCTCCTCCTCCTCCTCCTCCTCCTCCTCCTCCTGCTGCTGCTCCTCCTCCCTCCACCCCCCGGACTACGGTATGCTGTTTGTTGCCCACATTTGCAACGATGTCCCAGGGATTCTTCGAGGACTTCCTGAGGAGATCTCCGGCGGCCCCCCCCGTGATGTGATCGGGGGGGTGCGAATTCTCCCCCACCCACCCACCCACCCACCCACCCACCACCCACCCACCCACCCACCCGCCCACCTTTTCCTCCTCCTCTCCTCCTCCTCCTCCTCCTCCTCCTCCTCCTCCGCCGTCTCCTGCTGCTGCTCCTCCTCCTCCTCCCTATTCCTCCTCCTCCTCCTCCTCCTCCTCACGCCTCCTCCTCCTCCTCCTCCTCCTCCCTCCTCCTCCCCCTCCTCCATCTCCTCCTCCTCCTCCGCCTCCTCCTCCTCCTCCTCCTCCTCCTCTCCTCCTCCTCCTCCCTCCTCCTCCTCCCCTCCTCCGTCCTCCTCCTCCTCCTCCTCCTCCTCCTCCTCCTCCTCCGCCTCCTCCTCCTCCTCCTCCTCCTCCTCCTCCCTCCTCCTCCTCCTCCCCCCTCCCTGCTCCCTGCTCCTCCTGCCTCCTCCCTCCCTCCTCCTCCTCCTCCTTCCTCCTCCCCCCTCTTCCTCCTCCTCCTCCTCCTCTCCTCCTCCTCCTCCTCCTCCTCCTCCTCCTCCTCCGTGCCGACGGGAGGCTGCAGCCCTGGGGGGGAGACTGCGGTGGACGCACGGGGCGCCTGTAAGGGGGCTTCTTTGCCAAGCCCCCGATGAGCACCACCGCATTGCCCCCCTGGGCTAGGCCCCCCTGGGCGACACAGGCATAATTCGGGCCTTGGAAGGCCTGCCCTTGCACGCCCCCTACCCCGCCTTCCCTCCCTGCCCTCCTCCCCTTCATCAGCACATCTCTCTCTCTCCCTCTCTCTCTCTCTCTCTCTTCTCTCGCCCGCTCTGCCCCCACCCGAATTCTGGCCCGCTCCACTTCTCCTCTTTCCCACCTTACATGGTCGGCAATGCCACCAGTGTGTCCCCGAGCTGAGGGGTACGGCTCTTGGAGTAGGTGGCCCCAGGGCCGGAGGGGGTACAGTAAGGGTGCAGCCCGATGGTGGGCTGGGGCGAGTACCACTCCCCAGCCACGCCAAAATTAATAGGGATGGGCCTGTGTCCCAGCGTGGGCGGGGTCCAACTCCAATCCCCAGCCGCGCCTGAGGGCGTCAGAGTAGGATTGTACCCCTCTCCCAGGCAGCCCCCTTTACCCCCCTCTCTTCTCTCGCCCGCTACCCCCCCCTCCCCAATTCTGGCCCGCTTCACCCCCTCCTCTCGCCCATCTTACATGGTAAGCATTGCCGCCAGCGTGTCCCCGAGCTGACGGTACAGCTCTTGGAGTAGGTGGCCCCAGGGCCGGCCAGATGGGGGTACAGTAAGTTTGGATCCATTCCCCAGTCACGCCAGAGGGGTAGAGCAAGGCATGGTTATTATTTGATGCTGGTTGCACAGAGTATGGTAAAGATGCTTAACGCTCTAGGCATCTTAATTGTCTCCCTGGCTGTATAGGCTGGCGCCTTTCGCACTGGAGCTCTGCCAGGACTGTGGGCTACGGCTATGCTTCGCATACCCATCTAGCCTGCGGTCCATTGTTTCGGCTGGTCCGACTCAACCAACAAGGCTGGAGTTCTGGCAGAAAGCCGCATTAGGCAGGAAAGTCCGCTTTGGAACTCTGCCAGGACTGTGGGCTACGGCTATGCTACGCATACCCATCTAGCCTGCGGTCCGTTGTTTCGGCTGGCCCGACTCAACAAATAAGGCTGGAGTTCTGGCGGCAAGCAGCACCTGGTAGGTAAGACTAGCGCCGTCCGCACTGGAACTCTCCTAGGACTGTGGGCTACGGCTATGCTGCGCATACCCATCTAGCCTGTGGTCCGTTGTTTCGGCTTGCCCGACTCAACACATAAGCCTTGAGTTCTGGTAGCACGCCGCACTAGGTAGGCAAGATATTGGGAACTCTGTTCTTGCGCCATTCTGGAGCCTTTCCAAAGGGGCCCCCGCGGGTGCTACAACGGACCCCCTCCTTGTAGCACCCGTCGGGTGCCCTTTATGAGCTCTTCTGCGGCCCCTGTTGGCTTGTGTTTGAGCACTTGGGGGGTCTCTTGGGGCTCTCTTGGGAGCTGTGGGGCGCCCTGGGGCCCTCTTGCGCGATTCTGGAGCCTTCCCAACGAGGCCCCCACGGGTGCTACAACGCACCCCCCTTTTGTAGCACCCGCCGGGTGCCCTTTCTATGAGCTCTTCTGAGGCCCCTGTTGCTTGACACGCTCGCGCCTGCCACCTCGCAAGGCAGCCTCCCGCAGTCCAGCTTGCCGTGCTCCCTGATGTCCTGGGCGGCGGGAAGGGAGGCGGCCGCCTCCGGCGCGGCCTGACGGGGGGCCAGGCGTCCGCGCTCACCACCTCCTCGCTGGTCGCAGGGCCACGGGGGTTGGCGAGGGAGGGTCCCCCTACAGGGCAGGCTCGCCCCTCAACGACGGGGTGGGGGTCTTTCGGCATACCCGGCCCGGCCTGTCAACACTAGGGGGACCCATTTAGGCTGGGTCCAGATTGTTAAGGCGGCTACTGCGACCGCCGCAGCTTAGGTGCATCAAGCTTTCTTGTGTTAGTCCGGTTACACCGCCTTCACTTGCCGACGCCCGATGTCGGCATACGGCGCCCCAGAGGAGGAAAACAGCCCAACCAAGGTCGCCTTGATGCGGGGGGGGGGGTGCGCCCTACCTCAGGTGTGTAGGGCAACGCACCGCACAGCAATCCAACTCCCAGGCGCTGGGCCACTGGGTGCCTGTTCGGGGGGGGGGGGCTAGGCTTAGGTGTTCTGTTTCGGTCCTCCGTATTTGGCTGGGGGATTGAAGACGACGAGGGGCAGCAACAGCAACGGCAGCGGAGGATGGGTAGTGGGAACATGGCGAGGGAAGGCCGGACGGCGAGCGTCGGGAGAGCCCGCGCTGCCCCCGTCCTGTTTTCCGTGGTCTCTCGCACGCAGCGCTGGCTCCCCCGCCAGACCGCTGTCGGCGCGCCCGGAGGCGACCGGCGGGGGCCGCCTGCGCCGTCCGGCGGGGCGGCGGCGGCGGGGCAGCGGTGGCGGGGCCCAGCGCGCACCTCCAGCAGGGGCAAGCTGGCGGGGGCTGGCGCGAGCCTCCTCCCGCGGCGCTGGGCGGCCGGGGCTGCGCCGGGCTGGCTCCGCTGCTTCAGCGCGTTGGGCGCCGAACCCAGCCGGGGGGGGGGCCCAATGACGCCCCGGTGGAACCCGTCCTTCAGAACTGCGTAGCAGCATGTGGCCTCCCAAGGGGGGATATAGTGCTGTTTAGGGCGGTCTTGGGGCTCTCTTGGTGCTAT